CGCCAAAAACTAGGTGACTTTCGTATGAGTTTTGATCCCAATTTTCGTTTTGGGTTAACACTCAAAACCTTTTTTAAACAGTTAGAAACTGATGTACTATGATAAAATGCCTGTTTGAAGCGGTATTTTCAATTGCACAAAGATGTTTTTGTTGCACTTGTGTTAGAATGTTGCTTTGTCAGGCTTTTTTATAGAAAATATATGGGAAATAAGCAAATGAAGGCCTAAACCTCATTCTCGACTCAAATTTTTTCTTTGGGTTAACACTTTGATTCCACTTCGATCATCTCCACTTCCAAACAAGTTACTATGACTTTCTGAATAACAAGATGTTAGCCTTGTACAACAGCCTTTCTCAAAAATAGTTTTTGGCGCTCACTGCTTGAATACGAAAAGAATTCTCTCTTAATTTTTATCACTCATTCAAGAAGGCTTGCAAGACATCTTTAAATTGGGCCCAATATTTTCGCATTTCAAGAAAAAGATTTTGTTTGACTCGCATCCATATTCATGGGTGTTCTTTATATGTGTGGTATGTGTATGGTGTCCCCCGATTAGCATACTGCTCACCTGTGGCAAGCTAGTAGTAATAAAGTGATTGATTGATTGATTGATTGATTGATGCATGGTTGGTATACACTGCTACGGCACTGTCTCTACACATTGTGTAGTTAATATATGCCTGGGATTGTGAGTTCGACTCTCGACTAAGTGGAGTTGGTTTTCAGTTCCCCCAAAAAAATTGTCGTTCGTGTGGCCATCAACTCCATATCCATATTTGATAAACGTACCCGGCTTATTTTGAAGTGAACACAGATTTCTCTTTGGTGATTTTCCCGCCATTTAGAGCTTTAAAATGTCGAAAATATGAATCAAAACCTGCGGATATTATATCGAAGAAATTGTCCGCCATCTTGAAGCTCGCAAAGGAAGCCCAAAACGTTTAAAACCACAGGAATCCCACGCGAACGACAATATAAGTTTTAGATGTGGTTGTTTTCGTTGTTCTTTCCCATTGTCATGAGGATTTTTCTCCGGGTTCTCCGGTTTTCGGACAAATCAATATGCGAGTTTAGTGTTGTGTCGTTGTAAAAAGCGAATGCAGTGGTAGTGCGCTCGTGGAGCACCTTTTGGAAGAGCCACTAAAAGGAGTGATGGTTGTAAAATACGTTTTTCCCGTCTTTCTTATATGCAGCCGTTAAACAAAGAAATGATACTGTAGGGAATTACCCTTTTTGTGAAAAGGAAAAACATCAGCCTAAGCAATAAGAGTCTATTAATTCCAATGCCGTGTATGCTTTCTTGTTTAAAGGTACTACTGGGCTGCTACTGTCCTACGCCATTGGTGTCAGGATGGCAATTTCAGTGGCTTTACGCTATGCATCTCAGGCAGAAGCTGAACTAGTATCCGTAGGACGAGTTAAAGCCTACACCCAACTTCCCTCTGAACCAGGATATGAAAGACAAGCTGAGGTACCAGCAAACTGGCCTAATAAAGGTGCTCTGAGTCTACGTGGAGTTTCGTTGGCTTATTTTGACGGTGGATCTTCTATAATAAAGGACATCGAGCTAGATGTACAGCCACGAGAGAAGGTCGGTATTGCAGGTCGTACTGGAGCAGGCAAGTAATCTCTTGTAGCTGCCTTATTTCGTATGCCAGATCCTCAAGGTCACGTGTTCATTGATGGTATAGATCTTGGTACTATTAATGTGCAAGACGCTCGTAGGTCCATGGCTGTCATTACTCAATCACCTGTGCTGTTTGAAGGTAGTTTGAAGACGAATTTAGATCCTTTTGACCAGTTCACTGAAGATGAAATATGGACAGCTTTGAAAGAGGTACAGATGCTGGAGCGCGTTAATAAACTTGAAGGTCTACTAAGCTACTCCTTTGGGGAGGGTGGATCGGATTTCAGTGTTGGGGAACGCCAACTGTTGTGTCTCGCTCGTGCACTGCTACAACGACGTAAGATCCTCGTACTGGACGAAGCAACAGCTAACGTCGACTACACAACAGATCAACTTATTCAACAAGTCATCAGAGACAGGTTTTCCGACTGTACTGTGTTGACTATAGCACATCGACTCAATACCATCATCGACTACGATAGGGTGGTGGTTCTTGATGGAGGTCGCATTATTGAAGATGGCAGACCACAGGTTCTCGCGAGTGACGGAGTTTTTACAAGACTTTTACAAGATAACAGTCACTTATAAATTGATCTATTACACTGCAATATACCAAAGATTTTTTAAATTCAGTTTATTAACTGAGATTTTTAAAAATCTTAAATAAAAGGTCCATGCCTTATAGACCAAATTCAAAACTCGCACCGATGTGAGGCTTAGGTTGTGAACAAAGGAATCTTCACGAAAGTCCAGATTACTTTGAGTCACGCCAAATCCCTTTGTTCACAACTTAAGCCTCACATCGGTTCGAGTTTTGCATTTGGTCTATCTTCTTATCACTTAACCGATCACTGCACGTGACACCGATCACTGCACGTGACAAATCACTATTATTTCGAATGGAAGCCAATATTTATTCTCATTATCAGTCGGATTTTATTTTTTTCATTTTTTTAAAAGTTTAATGAAAGCATTCAAGTATTTAGGGTGGTTGATATGGATAAAATGCAAGTCATTTGAAAAATTATTAATTATTAAAATGATGTAATTGAAAGTGTGAACTTTCACAGATAAGGTGTCAAAAAAAAAAAAAAAAAAAAAAAAAAAAAAAAAAAAAANAAAAAAAAAAAAAAAAAAAAAAAAAAAAAAAAAAAAAAAAAAAAAAAAAAAAAACACAAGAAAACCCAGGGCATAAAAATGAATTTCTTCAAAATATCTCGCCAGGAAAGTAATATTTCTTGAATCAAATATTGTATACATAAACTTCATAAACTGAGAAACAAACTTTTGTATTTGTAATGGATATAAAATGCAGTTAATAGTGCATTCTTACCAAGAATGAAAGACGAATTGAGCCATGTAGTAATACTGGAGCTCAGTGGATAAGTTGATGACCACATAATGCCCCGCACTCCTTTTATGACCAGGTATCTCTCTGTACGTCTATGTGAAACAGTAATAAATGTTACTTTTAATGGTGCATTCTTACCAAGAATAAAAGAGGGTATAAGTATTGAGCCATGTAGTAAGCTTGAGCAGTGGATAAGTTGACGTATCTTTCTATACGTCTGCATATGAAACGGTAATAAATAAATATTGATGGATTGCAAGCATTCCCAAGAGAGTCAAAAGACAAWAGCATGGCGGCCATTGTGGTGCCGTTAACAATGGATGCTAATGAGAAATCTTTTGTTAAATGGCACCAACATGGCCGCGATGACGTAACGTGCAATCGAAGAATTGTGGGTTAGAGTCATGTATTTACAGCTATTTTTAAAAAAAAATGTCGACTACGGCAAAGCGAATAGTGCATAGTGAATAGCAACTTAATGTCATTGTGGCAGATGATAACGACATGTCATTTTGGAAGCCAAATTCATATTAAACGTACATGATTTAGATTTAAATGTATTAAAGCTATTTTATGTTATAAGTACAGAATCGTTAATTTTATTTGCATTTTAGCTTCATTCTAAACCGGCCTGCTGCATATTGTGCTATTCAGTACGCAGTATCAGTATACAGCATTCAACATTCAACATTTCAACAAGGAAGGAAGGAAGAAAGCGGACAATGTTAGCGCGCGTGTGCGTTTTGACGCGGCGAAAGTTCCCGCCGGAGCAAGTCGCCATATTCATGGTATCTATAGACTGTGGGACTGAATTTAGGGAAGCAAGGTATCGATAGCGGAGTTTTTTTTATCCGATCCCAAATTCGGTGCAAATTCCTAAGCAATACTTAAATTATTATTTTTTAGTTTGACGCGAAAACTGCGTGACACGTGTCTCTAATTTGCATAGATGAACATTTCTCAATGAGCAATAAGCCTTTTCCTAGTTTAAGAATCGATTCTACTGCGCATGCGATTTTATCCCGAATTTCTCACCTTCTTTTGTTTAATTAAGAACAAAAGAAGGTTTAGACAAAAGAAGGTGAGAAATTCGGGATAAAATCGCATGCGCATTGGAATCGATTCTTAATCTATGAAAAGGCTTATTTAAATGACGTGCAATTTTATAATACTATTGCTATAACCTTATCTGAAGTACCACCAGATGCATAAGATTAGGTTTACACAAACCTAGTTATTTTAAACTTTAAAAAATTGATACAAAAAAATTGTTCGAGTCAGTGCAATAATATAAATCTTGTTCAACGGACCTTGCAGCGAATATTGGATTTCAAACGTGTTATATTATCTTTGAAAATAAGCATCTTTGATTACTAGTCTTTGCGTGCAAAATTAAATCTTTCTTTATACCTCTATATTTGTCTTTTACTTTCTGGAGTTTTTGTTTTCTTTGCGCCCTGAGAAAGGACCAGTTTTAAATTCACATGTACACTTGGCTAGGTGTTCATCAAGACCACTAGAAGCTTCTGTATTAAATCCACGAACATCTTCAACTCTAGGAAATGGCTCAAGACGTACCGAACTCTTTATAAGATAGAAGAGTTATATCTACATCTCGGTATAAGTCAAATACCCGAACAGAGAGAGAACTACGAACGTACGCCAAAAGTCATGCTTGCTGAATGTGACTGGGCTGGACTACGCATGCCGGAATGGCTTTGGTATCATTACGAAATGAATAAATTAATATTAACAAAGTGTGAGGGAAATTTTAAGCGCGTCGTCCCACATGGAAAGGAATATGGCTGTGGGTCATTACCCGCCAGCGTCGCACGCGTCATTTCGGATTTGCTGATCAAAGCGAGGGGTTAATCATTTACGGTATAGGGGCCGACTAACCCTCCCTTAGGCTTCGATCGTTTACCACTCTTTTCGTTGCTACGCGCTGATCGAGACTGAGGCGCGAAATCTCAGGTATAAACTGAAATAAACGGAGATATTATAATAAATATAGTCAGGATAAAGAGCTAGCTTGTACGAACTTTATTCAAATATTCTAATTACAACTCAATCTTAAACTACTCTTGGGGTTCTATAAATATCATGTGATGGACCCCAGGGCTTTTTGGCGGGAAAATAATCGATCAAAGGACTGATTTGAATCTTAGGAATTTTATAATCAATCGAGATCTAACTCAATTGCTTTTAGTTAACTACAAATTTTTATCGAAAATTGCTACAAAACATACTTCATTAAAACCCCTCACTCTGAGCAGAGGAATGGCAAAGGCCTTTTAGAAAAAAAGCATTCCTAAAGATTGCCCTGAATACAATCTCACCAAGTCCTTTGTTCGATCGAGTTCATACCATATATTTGTGAAAAACTTTGTAAGAAAATCTACAAATCTGCACAAATTAGTAAGTTCGATAGACCCCAGTTAACTGTAGGCTTACAAAACTTTGCGCTAATTTGTACAGTTTTGTTAGTTTACTTTTTCACGGATATATAGGATGCACTCTATAAGTCGCAAAACAAAATGCTAGCCTTAAAATACACAGGAATCAATAATAATATGTAAGATTATTTTTCTTAAAAACAATACGTCGTTGCGGGGCTGTGAAAGAGGCTCGCAATGTTGCATGCAATTGATGTTGCAAGCCATGACACACGACGCAATTTGTTGCACGCAACGTTGCTGAAGTTGAAAACTATCCTACTTCAGCGTAATGTTGCACCGTGTGTCCGCGCCTTGAAGGCACCTCTTCGAAGTCCAAAGAAATATTGTAATGACCTCGTAGAGCATAGGATTGTGGGATTGAATAGGGGGGTTATATCAAAGCTTCGCCATCATGATACCCTGAATTTACTCCCACAGTCCTTTTCGCTACGAGGCTATTACAATCTTTCTTTGCACTTGGAAAAAGCGATGATATGACGATGATAATTTCTGCAAGAATTATCTTAAAAATGGAAATGTAGATTTGTGATAAAATTTGTCACTATATTCTAGTCCCGTCGATCTCCGTTGATGAATCTCTTTGATTCATCAAGAGTTCATTCGCTATTCCCACTCAGTTGTCCCAGGAGGCTTTGCGGTTAGATCGTAGAGAACACGTGACACACCCTGGACTTTGCCAATCTTGGCTACCATTTCCTGAACGACCTAGAATGGAAGATTTTATAAGTTTCGTAAAAAAATTGTCAGATTCAATGAACGGTTACTTTCAAATTTGATTAAAAACGTCAATTCTTTGGAACCTCAAACAGCCTCTGGGCTAATCTAAGTCAGGGCTTGGCAAACTCACATAAATGGTTTTTGGCATGTTAGATTTTGTTCAGAGAGGGGAATTATAAAATAACTGCCCTAAATTTCGCGTACTGAGTGGTTGGGAGGGCGTGCTTTATGAGAGCACACAGCACGTTCGCGCACTTTCAGTTTCGTCATTCATGTAATTTGTATATTATAAAAGAAATAAAAAACTTGCTTGCTGTGTTGTGTGGAGTTATCCGCTACACGTCGTGCTTCTCCTGACACTTCTCTCGTGTGCCAACCCCCGCGTGCTTTATAACTGCACACAGCACGCGCACACACAATATCACTGTAACGTACCTCTAGTGGAAGGTGTTGCCCTGGAGTAGCAGGAATACCCGTCATAAAATCATTAGTAATAAAAGTCCTAATGACCATAGACCGCTGACAAGAAGGAATGTGGTCGATCGGGTCTCGGTCGAAGTGAACTGGTATCGAGACTATTGGCATCTGACTAATATTCAGCAGACAGCCTAAAATAAATGGAATGAATTAAGCAGACAATAATACAACGGCATCTATGACGTAACCACGGAACTGAGTATAAAAGTTTGCGCATGAATTAAAGTGTATATCAAGGAATTTCTTTTTCTTTCAAAATCGCTTGTATTTGACCAGTTTAGTAGTATGGTTGCAGTATTTTTGTATTTGGTCTTCTCTTTTCCGAGATATAAACATTTGAAATATCAATATGCAAATGAGATGACGTAAATTCAAGACTAATTTGTTATGCAAAAATGCTGTTGTGGAAAGTACTCTGTTTTTTTCATTTGCAAATCATCTTAAACTGAAAGATATGGCTTTGTACACTTTTAGGTTATTTCACTTGTAAAATGTAACGCATTCTTGAATTTATGTCATCTCTTTTGCATATTGATATTTCAAATGTTTATATCTCGGAAAAGAGAAGACCACATGCGCAAACGTTTCACTAGTGTGTCTGCCTCGTTTCCTGAGAATGGATTGGACCAATAACATAATACAACATATGACGCAACTACACGACGTCATAACAAGGCTTGGTTACCTACCATTTTCACTGAGAACTGAATGTGCCACGTGATCACACTGACGTAGTTGGCTCAAAACGCCTAGCGATAGGTAAGTTGGTGTGATATCTTGTATCTGATATTTGATTCTCTTTCCAAACGCATAACATATTCTGTGAAGAACAATAAAGACGGGATTTATTTGTGAGTATATTATTTGCATCAATTTCCTTGAGGAAAAAAATCTTGTATTTTTCTCGTAATGACTAAAATAATTAAATAAATTAACTTTGTTTAAAGAGGATAACACTTGACAGTAATTCAACTGATGAACTCGTGGTCCTCTTTTAACGTCTCTAGTTAATTAGGGACGGGACCGCCATTAACGTGGTCATCCGAGCCACTTGAAGGTCTAACCATTTGCAGATATGATTACAAAGGCAGCACCTTCTCCTCAGTTACTTTAAGACCCTGAGTGTTGGTCCGACCTCCCGCACAACAGACCGACGCTTTTACCAACTGAGCTAGCCGGGTTGCGATGACTTCTGTTAATTCAAATTTACATCCAACTCTGACAACGCTAATTTTTTGGTCAAAGGAAAATAAGCCCTGACCACTGGACCTAGACTGTGTAATTAGGTATTTACGTAATCATGATTATTTCTTCACGATAAAACAGTGGGAAAATCCGTGATTTCAGGGGGGACCACTAACCTAAAAATACCATCCCTCCCCTCCCCCCAAGTTGCAAATAAACTGTTAATGGGAAGGCGGATCAAAGGTACCCAACGTCCTCTTGACTACGTCACAGGTTTAACATTCGCATTACATAATCACCCTTTTTTTCTTTCCACCGGTCTTTCCTAAATGTCAAATTATTCTATATTTTTTGCCAGCTCTTCGACCCCTTGCACTGAGTTCTGAGAGAAATTGTTCCGGGAATGACGACCTAATGTTTTGTCCACCAGAACAATTCCTCTACGAAATCAATGCAAGGAATCTATAAATAAAATGTCAACCACCAACCTGTTAATATTATGACAAACTTTAGGGATGATTCTAGCCATAAACATGAGTGACGGCCAGTCGGGATGATCATTACTGGACAGAGCCACTACATAGCTATATGTTCGGCCATCTCCCTGGACACCCACTGACTTGATGGGTAACAAGGTTGCGATGATTTTGAACTTGCTAGTGATTTGCATCAAGACATCGCGTTCCTCTTCTGTGGTGCTGTTCTTGACGCGACGAAGAAGGGAATGCGGCTGTTGATAGTAACATAATACAGAGTTCGTGCTACATTCTCGTTACAAAATTAAAGGACTTTTTAAGCACTTTTCAAGCACAAAAATTCGATTTTCAAGGACAAAGTTTTTTGGATTAGAACGTGGTTTAAACATTGATTCAATGTTAAAGTGCAGCTAATTCAGCCGGGGCCACTAGCTTAGACAAAAAACGAGCATGACACGCAACCAACCACTAACAAGCAACCAGAAACTCTTCAATCAATTTTAATCGTTATTTCTTTTAAAAGGTAAGTTAGAAATAACATTAAGTTTGTATTAAATTCAAGGAGTATTCCAGGAGTTTTGACGTTTTCCCCTATTTTCAAGGGCTTTTCAAGCGCCCTTAAAAACGTGTTTTCAATTCAAGGACTTTTCAAGGTTTTTAAGGAGTAGCACGAACCCTGGTAATAAACAAGACTGAATAATATAGTAGAGCAGTTTTTACATCACTGTGAAAAGCTCGCGGCTCGAACACGGGCGTGACACACTAAGTTATACGCCAAACCAATCACATTGCGCGAAAATTTACTCTCCATCCAATCAAATACCCGGAACATGGCAAGTAAAAATGGCGCGGACACGGTCACGCCAATGTCACGGCACTGTCAGAACAATCACATTGCGCGTGAAAAAATCAGTCAATAAAATTCAAGAAAGCAGCAAGGTCACGGAACGGCACGCCCAGCACTGAGCTTTTTATGTAGTCATACATACGAAAACTGCTCTATGCTTCAAGAATTTGAAAAGATTTGAGTCTTTTGAGATTCCTCTTTCGACTTGTTTTTGACAATGCCGTCGCTCATCATATTATTAGGGACCTTAAGCTGCAGGACGGCAACGACGACGACGACGACGGCAACCATACAATAGCACTAATTGTGCTATTCAATAGATACTCGTTGCAATGTACGAAATACTATGCATCATTGCCGTCTTATGCTGAAAGTAATGTCCTATTTTTACGGCTACGCCAAAAGCTTATCTTTGCTGATTTTCGTTATAAGAAAAGCGTTCCTAAAAGACGTCATTTCACTCTAAAACGGGGATTCTTATTGAGTAAAATACTAGTTAAACACGAAATAATAATACTATAGAAGGTTGAAGCGCCTCAATTTCGCCGACATTGTCGCCCACGTTGCCGTCCTGCAGCTTAAGGTCCCTAATCAGAGTACAGGGTTGCATACCTTCAACACAGCAGCTGCAAAGTCCACTATTTGTCCAAGTACAATGTTTGTTTCTGCGAAATCATTGCCTTGGTATGGTTCTTCTCCACATATCACACGGATGGCTAAGCCAGGACCTAAGACAAGACAACAGATGAGTTAAATAGTTAAAAGAATGGTACAGGATTCGTGCTGAGGTAACCACTTAAAATTCAAGGACTATTCGAGGAGTATACAAGGACTCAAAAATGAATTTTCAAGGAGTATGTTTAGCTAACTATGCCAAGGTTTTACACGGTGGTTGCACATAGCCGACTTTCAGATTTTCCGATCTTTCTGACTAGATCTATTTCGGAAACATGCAAGTAATGATCAAAGCAAAAATCCAAGGAGTTTTCAAGGAGCTTCGCTAAAATCGTAAAATTCAAGAGCTTTCCAAGTGCCCTTGAAAACGTGAATTAAATTCAAGGAGTTTTCAAGAGGTTTAAGGAGTAGCACGAACTCTGATGGTAGGAAATTATTTCATTCATGGTCTCTTGTTCTTTTAATTATGGTTGGCTCTCAAAATTTTGATACACAGTGGACGAAAAAATAATAGAAAAAGAAGAGAAATGGAAAGAGAAAGGAAGGCATAGGAAAAGGAAAAAGCAAGGAAGAGGGCGAGGAAGGAAAGCCACAGGAAATAAATAGAAGGGAAACAGGAAATGGAAAGAAAGGAATGGAAGGGAAATGAAATAGAATGGGAAAAAGAATGGGAAGGGCTGGAAATAAAAGGAAAGACAGGGAAACAATGAAACAACAAAAGAAAGAATTCAGCAAAGTCAAAGATACTCATGGTTTTTGATAGTTTTATTTTCTGTTAGGATGTTTCAGTATAGTTTGTTCTTTGTCCTACCTGGAAATGGATGTCTTTGTACTATACTTTGAGGTAAACCAAGTTCTATACCCAACTGCCGAACTTCATCTTTGTGGAAATCTTTGAGTGGTTCAACTACACGACCCTAAACAAATATAGACAAGAATATGCATCAATAAATTAAACACATTTTTCGGGACCAAGGAAACATTCATAGTTTTCACTTTTGATTAACTTCAGCAACTCTTCCCTTCTATTGGCTGCAACAGGTCAAGCCGAACACTATACGTAACACTAAATTTTGACTTACCGATTCTCTTAGGATTCGTACTATTTCTGTATCATTGTGATGTGTCTTGATGGCACAAGCCTTGGAGCTGGCTAAGTGAGATGCACTTTCAATCAAGTCCGGTCGAAGTGTTCCTATAGAAAGACACACTGACAGTTTTAAACTCAAACTGTCTCTAAACTAACTCAAACTGTCTCTAAACTAACTCAAACTATCTCTAAACTAACTCAAACTGTCTCTAAACTAACTCAAACTGTCTCTAAACTAACTCAAACTGTCTCTAAACTATACACATACATTTAGAAGATGAGAGTAGTGTAAATAGAGGATATTACAGGTCTACTTGGAGATAAAGAATTTATCTTCAAGTGTTAAGATTATATCTTACGAGTGAGAACAGCAAACGAGTAAGATATTCTCCACACGAGAAGATAAAATCTGTATCCTCAAGCGGCCATGTAATATTCTGTTTAATATATAATCATCAATGAAATACAATTTTGGTGAATTTTTACTATTTAATGCGATTCCTAAGAGTTCTACTCAATGATTTTTTTAGATGTGAAAATAAGGGAGATAAAATAAGGGAACAACACAGTGAAAGTACTAACGTTATTGCCATTACAACAACTACTTTACCTTGGGCAAGGAATGTTGTGCTGGTATCTAGCTTTAATTCTTTAACAACATCATCTGCCACCTGACAACCAATAAGAAGGTTAATCATCAAATGAGTTTCTTGCATTCTTCCTTGTTTAACTATTTTATCTAAATTGGGCTCCCTGTGCTCAAGAGTTACACCCAGACCTACTCTCACCTTCATAAAAGTGTCTCCAATGATTTTTCTTTTCTCTTCAGGATTGATGGTCAGGTTGAGTGTCTTTGTGAGCTGTTTCTTGACAGCAGGTTGGTCTTTTCTTCCTGATATCACAGTAGATGCATTGTAGAACTCTATCGCAGCATTTACAACTGAAAAAAAAAAAGTGACATTGCAACATGTACATACGATACTATAGATAGAGGATGGAATACATGTAGGGCCATTTTTGAGCACAGTATTCAATGAGTGGAGTATGCTTTTGTTTTGTCCTCCAGATTTAGTTGCTTTGACCTCAAAATGCAAGGGTCTTTAGATTTGGCTATTTATCTACCCGACTACAAGCTAATAGTACAATCTATCAGTTCTGTACCTTTGAGCTTCAAGCCAAGACATTTAAGAGATTCTTGTACTTGCTGGCTTTCTTGCTTTCTCATGAATCCATTGTCTATATGTACAGCAACCACCTTATCTACACCCAGAGCCTAAAAAAATATCCATAATGATAATTTATTTATTTAGAGGGTGTTAATTGACAGACACAACTTGAAAATCTGTTGCCCTCTTTGCTTTAATGAGGATAAATGTAATTTAAAGTCTAAAGCTATTGATACACGCTGCAACCTTTTTTCACGCTGACAATGCAATCTCAAATTTTCCATTGCATTGCCAGTGCGAGACACAATCTCAGCGTGTATCATGCCCCGCAACTTTGACAGCAACGATGTCTCGCAACGCAAAAGTTGTTGCAGAAAATCAAAAAGTTTGAACTTTTCTCTGCAACCTTTTCAGAATTGCCTGCCGTAAAATTGTAAAAACTGAAAATTGCAGCGTCTATCACCCATCTATTACTCGCAATGCAATAATCCTATTCAGACTAGCCAATCAGGATTTAATACTGATTTTTACCCAGAAGTTCATTTCAAACCTTTTTGATATAGTAGACATTGCAATTTTTCACTGCAAAAAAAATGGGAAATTGCGTAGCCAGCGTGAGAAAAATTGCAGCGTCTATCGGCAGCTTAAGAATTTGCAGATATTTTAGGGCAAAGGGAGCACCTTCTACTCAGATATTTTTAAAGCCCTGTGTGCTGGTCCAGCCACTGGGCTTTAGCCGACAACCACATGCAAAACAGACCAGTGCCCAACAAACTTTGCCAACAAGGAGGCTGTTGGAATAAGTCTAATACCAACAATAGGGCTGGGTGCTTCAAAAATGTACAACAAAATATAGTTCAAACATTGATTTATCATGTTAAAAAAATCTACCCATTTTGGCTGTAATCACAGAGTGGGACAATCATGAATGTAACCCTCAGAACCATGCTAGGTGAAAGCCCAAGATCGAATTGGAATTTAGAAGTTGATTTTTGCAGAGGGAGGAAAACTGGAGAACCTGGAGAAAAACCCTCGAAGCACAGGAAAGAACCAAGAAACAACTCTACTCACATACGAAACCGAGCACCACTGGGCTCAAACTCGGGTCACATTGGTGAGAGACGACGCATTAGAAGCGCACACCACCCGTGTAAGTGACTAGTTCCTGGTTTCACAGGATGAATCACATTTTTTGTGTTATTTTACATGTATATCTAATTACCTTATGAAGCAGAGCAGCACATACTGTTGAATCTACACCACCACTCAACAATGCCTGTAAATATATATCATCAGGAAAGTAAGTATAGAAATAATCTATCAATACTCCATTATATTATATGACCGTGAATCTTAGAGCATGGACACTCTAAGCAAATCAAGCAATCTGATTGGATAGATTGCATCACGGACTGGTCTAGATTCTCCATTATTAACCGGTCCGATCGCAGATTAATCTTACGGAGAAAACATTTTGTCCTTTTCAATGAAAAATGGTCATATAATAAAACTCTTATGAACCGAGCTTGGTTGGTCTGTACGGGATAATCTTGACCTCGGTTGAGTACAGACCTCAGTCAAGATTATCCAGTACAGACCTCCCACTCGGTTAATAAGATCTAATTACAGTTCCATTCAGTGACCACGAATAATAGTTCCAAGCCAAGGCAAGTTACTATGCATGATAAACTGTAGTTTGGCTATGCGCGGAAACTCCAGTCTCCGTTAGGAACTATTATTCGTGGTCACTGAATGAAACCGTAAAACGGAGTATTGTGACTAGCCGAAAGAAACTCAGAAGATTAATCATATTGTTCTTACCAATATTTTATTGTTGCCTACTGTCTGCTTAATCTCTCTAAGACAGGACTGTAGCCTACTCTCAACAGTGTATGTACCACAAAGACCAGCAATCTAGATCAAAATGAAAATATGCATCTGAATGAATACACAGAAAGAAAACTGTACATTATTAATAGGTAGGGGGATATCATGCTCCCCAATCAAGAAATAATTAGACTTGAAAAATTCCTCTGACTGCCAAATTGGACTCGGCCTATGGCCTTATCCAATTTTGTCAGTCCTCGGAATTTTCCTCACCATGGAGTCCTATTACATATACTTATTATTATTTAACTATTATACTCTTACCCCATAAAGAAAATTTTTGAAAATGGTTGCTCCTTCTAAAGTTAAATCTACTTCCGGATGAAACTGAACTCCATAAAGTTTCTTTGACTCATGTTCAATTCCTACGAGAACACAATAACAAGGTTAAAAAAATGGTAGTCTTTTGTGCTTACACATTAGTGTACTCTAAATTCAAAACCTAGAGATTTAAAGACAAAACATGCAAGTCTAAATGCTATTTAAAAAGCGCATTAATAATTCATGAAGGAAACACAATATAAATCATGACCATGAAGGAGGTTTTATATCTGATATAGATTTGTCTTCATTTGCATAAACTTTAACTTGGATTTTCTCTATCAAACTTGGTTCATTTCGTAAAGAATTTGGTACATTATGAGAACTTACATCATGAGTTTTTTAAGCCGTTTAATAAACTCACAGATCGTGTTTTATCGGGTCTAAAACCACTCGGCTACGTCACATGTTTTATACCCGATAAAACACTCCTGCTTGTTTATTAAACATTACTTTAAAATGTTCAGAGAATATAGCAACTTTCATCATCAGTACGCATATAAGATTATTATTCAGAGTATTCATAGTTGATGGAAAGTCTGAATCCTAACTGTGTGCAATTTTTTCAAACAATTTCTTGATTTCTTAACAATATTTAAATAACATTTTGAAAGGAAAATTCTAAACTATTTTAGTCTGTAGGTCTATTCTGGTAAACACAAGGCAGCATAAAGATAATAGTATGTGTATGAGAACATATATGAAATATATATTTGTACTGCGCTCGTATTGTTTCAAATTGAACTGATCCTCGCAGTATGTGAAGCAACTTATGCAGCTGCAAATTGAAAGACTCAGAGTCTTGAATGGGATTTGAACCAGTGCCCTGGTGATTCTGGTGCCATGCTCTAACCACTGAGCTACCAAGTCTCATATGAGACTTCAAGTACACATCAGGTGGCTTTATCGGCCCGATAAAGATAATACACTAACCAGCAACGATGTTTCCAGATTTAGCAGTTACTTTTAAACCATTAGCTACTTTATCAATCGAGTCTCCATGTGTAAGTAGAACCTCTTGGTCTGCATCAAGTCCCTTGAAGAGGGGGCATGATGGCTTCACAGTGATCTTGAATACACCATCTTCTCTTTCATCTTTTTTAACAACTGTTCCTCCAAACTCTTTGTTTAACATCTAGGAAGAAATACGTGAAGATAAAGAAATATAGATAAGTTATAGTGCTTGGGAACGAGGTTATTCYAGGCAAAAGCCCTTGGAATTAAATTCGGAAAAATTAATTTCCGACCTCGCTGAGAATCAAACCCAAGACCTTTATAATTGTACAACCGATGCTCTACCAGCTGAGCTAGAGGTCAGACTGAGAGCAGGCCAGGGTGAAATAGATGTTAGGTCATGGTAATTATGAAGCAAAGATGAGAATATGTGGACCGTATAGCACTTATGAAATACATGAAGATATAGAAATATAGATAAGTTATAGTGCTTGGGAATAAGGTCCACATATTCTCATCTAGGAAGAAATACAAGTCAGTCAATTCGCTTGTGAAGTATGCATTTTTGACGGGTTGCTATTCTAAGCCCTGTCAAAGGAAAGGAAACCAAGCTACACAGCGATGGACAATAGACTGAAGCACAAATTTATTGTACAATACCTGCATTCCGTAGCATATTCCTAACACAGGGATCCCAAGAGTAAAAATAGCAGGGTCATATTTTGGAGCGTCTTCAGCATACACACTTCCTGGGCCGCCTGATATTATTATTGCTCTGGAAGAAATATCAACAAAATAAAAGACTGTTATCTAATACTATTTTACATGGATAATATATGATGTGATTTGACCATTCTTCCTTGAAACAACCTCTGGGCTGATCTAAGTCAGGGCTTGGCAAAACTCACAGATTGAACCCTGAAACAACCTCTGGGCTGATCTAAGTCAGGGCACGGCTAACTCACAGATTGAACCCTGAAACAATCTCTGGGCTGATCTAAGTCAGGGCATGGCTAACTCGCAGATTGAACCCTGAAACAATCTCTGGGCTGATCTAAGTCAGGGCATGGCTAACTCACAGATTGAACCCTGAAACAACCTCTGGGCTGATGGGCTGATCTAACTTGCAGAATTTAGTACTGAATTTTCAAAGGGAGGAAAATTGGACATGAAAAAATTCTCAAATCAAGGGAGAGTTCAAAGTAACTCTACACATGATGCCGAGTCCAAGAATCGACCCCGAGATGCCAGAGGTGAGAGGAGAGTGCACTACCACTACACCACCCTTGATTCCCAATAGGTTAAAAGCATAATATATGGAGGCTTTGCACCATCACGTGACGGCAGCCATGTTAGAAGACAGGAAAAATACAATCATTTTACATGAGAAAGAATTCAATTCCCAAGAGTAAAGGGATTTTATTGTTCTGCCATTCCACCATAGGCAGTCCAAGCTGTATTATGGGTGCTGGCATGTGATGGTGGAAAGCCTCTATTGTAAGGTTATATTGAAACTTACTTGTAACCTTTTTCTTGCATAGTAAATATAGAGGTGTCTAGTGGCAACATTTCTGATTCAATGCACAACTCTCTTACTCTACGATCAATAACCTTTGAAGAATAACAATAAAATAATATCAGTAAATAGTGAGGAAAAAAAAAGTGTCTTATAATGGGAGTTTCTTATAACGCATTTCAAATATCTCAATGCGCTTTACATTCATGACCAGTGGAGTACTTTACGGGATGCATATTAAGGCACTGTTGGCAGCCGTGCAGCTTACAATCATGAGTGTGTATTCTTAGTAGATTAGTATTATGCCTCCAGATTGGGATAGGCTGTTGAACCGGGAGACAATCCCTACTCTTATAAGAATAATTCAACAGGTTCTTTTATGTCCCCTATTTTAAAACCAACTGACGCTCTTACCAACTGAGCTAGCCGGGTGTAGTAAGAAACTACCATTATTATCATTAATTGTTTTGTTTCTCTTTTTTGCCTTGGTTATAAGCAAAATAAACTAACATTGCTATAAGCTCATCGAAACCCCTTAATAATACATATTCTTGGATAGCATATTACGTCATCTCGGCCATGTTGGTGCCATTTAACAAAAGATTTCTCATTAGTATCCATTGTTAATGGCACCACAATGGCTGCCACATTTTTTTTTCTTTTGACTCTCTTGGGAATCCTTGCAGGGCCAGGCCATGGCTGCATTAATAATGCATATAGGCCTAGGGTAGCTTGTAACTGGGATTTTACATTATGTCAAACTCATTAGAAAACAACAACAACAACAATAATAATAATAATAATATATGACTTTTATAGCGCTTATACAAGTCTGTTCTAAGCGCTTAGTAACATACGTTAAAGGAATAAATAAATAAGATAGATAATATGRTTATAAAGAAAAAGCTAAMTTAAATAAATGAGTCTTGAGTTTAGATTTAAGTAAAGATAAACTGGAAATATCTCTAATTGAAGAAGGTAGAGAGTTCCAGAGCAGCGGAGCAGCAACTGAGAAAGAACGTAGACCATAGGAATTGAGATTATAAACTAAATTAATTAAAAACAAAAACAAAAGAAAGGGAGGTTGTTATTTCAATAGTAATATAGATTCAGCAATGTGTCTCATTATGATGTAAATTTGCCAATTTTTCTTAGCTACATTTATTTGGTATAATAAGTATAGCCATACATATTATATACATATAGCCTACCAAAATAATAACGACATTAGCTACACTCTCATCAGGACACATAAGTTTATTTTTTCGTTATTTTTGTTTGTCCAGTGCAAGCACGTGGAAGAGGAAATATTCAAATTCTTCTCCAACATGAAAATTTAAACATTAAGCTTAGATATTTTGTACTATAAATCAGCGATCAACGATCGAGCGAGAGTCAACCAGATATCCTATTACTAAGAACTAAAAAACATTTAAAAGAATAAGGTTAAATACTATAACTTCTGTAATACATTGGACAAAATTGAGAAGCAATCAATTGAAATCACGTTATTTAAATTTGTTAAATTCTTATAGGTATTTTTCGTATCTCGTAGATAGAAAAATTATAATACTACAAATTCACAAAACGATTTCTTTAATAGCCAGTTGATAATACAAACAACTGAGTTAAGATACCAGAAACTTAACAGGTAATCAAGCAAGTGAATAAGACACTGAGAAAAACAGAAATTTTTTTATAGCTTATAATTTTTTTGAGAAGAGTGTTTGTAGTTCGCCGTAGGCATGAAGATACAATGAGTTTTAGATAAGAAGAGAAAGACTACATACCTTCCCATACTGTGCTCCGGCATCTAGAATGACAACTTTATCTGGATTTGAGCCTGAATCCGACATCGCAGTGTCGTTCTTGTTTAGATGCCCATTAATACACGAACCCATAACCTTAGCTTTGCTCAGGTTCGCCGCCATCTTCCTTCCCGCCGATTTACTTGTCCAAAATTAATACCTACTACGCATGTGTATTGACCATCGCCGCTGGAATTTCCTGTTTTCCAAATCTCGGCTAGCCGTCGGAATCTTTTCGGCTTCTTTTTGGTCAATCTGCTATAAATGTTCTTTTAATAAAGATAATGTTATTTAGCTTATTAAACGCTTCTTAAATATAATCGTAAGCTATCGAATTTATCTTAAAAATCTTGGAGATTTTGTTGAGATTTAATAATACAAATTTAGGGCATTCGTCTTACGTTCGCAAACCGGAAACACGGTAAACGAGACGATGCCGACTTTCTTACGAAAAGTTTTACGAACATTCAGCGGACATTCGGGAAAAAATTCCACAAGATGGCGTCTAAAATATCAGAAGAAAATAGACGTTCGCAGTTTTTATGGGCCATAGGACTCAATTACGCTAAAATTGCGCCTGAATTATCGAGATATTACTTTTCTAAATATCAACAGCTACAACGAGACGACAAATGTTCGTCGTTTTTGCAAAAAATCTGTCAATATTGTGGAAGTTTGTTTGATGGTTTGAACTCGAAGACAAGAATCTCTAAGAAAATTTCATCAAAGAACAAGAAAAAAGACGCTAAAAAATTACAGAATAATTCAAAGAATTGCTCTCCACGACGAAAAAAGAAAAGCACCATTAATATATTGTGTTTGGTTTGTAAAAAGACTACAGTTTACGATGGAAGTGAGAAAATAATTCGTCAGAAAGAGAAGAAAAAGAGGATAGAAGGTAGAGAAGGGGCACCAACTACTCCTGCCTCTGGGCTTCAAACAGAATTACCAGAGAATTATAGCTCGTTGTCAGCATCAGCAAAGAGAAAATGGAGAAATAAAGTACGTATTAATAAGCTAAAGAGCCTGGGAGGAACGTGGCAGCCAGAAACTAAGTCTAAAGATGACAACAAAAGAACAGGATTGCTAGCTTTTCTATCAACTATAGAAAAATAACTAAGATAACTTTAAATATATTTATGCAGTGGTACATCTGTGAAGTGAACATCTATGGGACCTTGCTCTGTGTCTTCTTAATGAAGGTTTCCACTATTATTATTACTATTGCTATACTATTATTACACAATTACATACCACGTCATTCCCTAGAGCATCATTTCTTTGTTCAACAGGGCCCGGTTGTATGAAGTGTGGATAGAACTATCCGACAGATAAATCTATTGGATAAAAGCATCAACTTATCAACTGGATAAGGATTTATCTGTCGGATAGTGCTTCCTTAATACGATTGGGCACTGTAGTCTCCTATGCACGATTTTAGTGTTGTCATGCCACCCTAACTGGTGTTCATTTTGTCACAACGGCTTGATTAAGGGAGGAGAGGGTGGGTGAGTAGTATGGTCATGTGACCTGTGCCAAAGGCTATTTAGCAATTATTAGTCCTCATACCCAAATGGGCTAGTGACTCGCACACTGTAAGCTATTACAGCAAGAGGACTTATTGTTTTAATCAAATCCAACTTGTCGGTCTGATATATAAATACAAACAAGTTTTGAATTAAAGTAAATTTAATGTTTTTGTTTTCAAAGCTGGTACTTTTCGCTACTAGTAGGCTATAACGTATATAGCCTAGTACACCTTTTGCTGTTCATTAACCGCAAAGGAATATTCATTGAAGCGAAGAAGCATTGTCATTAGAGCGAACAGGCATACACTAAGGCGAACGGAGTCTCAATGCGATGGAACGTTCATCAAGAAATTTAGCATTGAATTTGACGATCATGAATATGTTTGCGTGGGTTCATTAAGTAATTAACAACTACATGCAAACATATCGTCCACGTTTAAATAGAGAACACATTCGAGGATAAATTCACTTTATTGTATTTGAAAATCTACAATTGTAAAAGCACAATATACTTATTTTGTATTGCGTAAATAAATGTCCAAAACAGTGACTGTATTGAATGTGTTTTGTGGTTTATTGTCTGCACCAAAACGTTAATGAAAGTTCGAAAATGTTAATGAACTCACGCAAACATATTCATGATTGCCTGTCAAATTCAATGCTAAATTTCTTAATGAATGTTCCAAAATAAATTAATAAATAAATCACTTTATTTAAGTCTAGTCGTTCTAGCACTTTTTCACACTAATTGGGGACACTGCTCACATGCACTACCACTACATTTAATATTCTATGCACACGACGCTCAACTCACATGTTGATTTTTATGGAAACCGGAGAACCCGGAGAAAACCCTCATAGCATAGGAGAGAACAACGCATCAAACAAACTCAATTCACATGTGGCGACCGCAGGGCTCGAACCAGCGACCCGACCCGTTGCACTCACAGCGGTGAAAGACGACGCGTTAGCCGCGAATGCCACCCATGCTATCCATCGCACTCTTGAGACTCCGTTCGCCTTATTGTATGCCTGTTCGCTCTAATGACAATGCTTCTTTGATTTAATGAATATTCCTTTGCGGTTAATGAACAGCAAAAGGTGTAGTAGCGCATCCAATCAAAGCGCAGCATTGATGATAGACCACTAATTGGATTTGACTGAGACTCCAAGATTGGATCTTTAGAAATAAATGCTTTCAAACGTACTTAAAACAAAAAGATATACAATCTTTAATATTTTTTTAATGTACAATGGCATACTTTGATTTAAAAAAATCGATTTACAAAATGAAAATGGATAAAAATAGTAATACAAAATATTTGTTAATTCTGTCATCTGTAAAATTATAATATGATTCTATATCTACAGTTTAAATCATATCTGATAAAAAAATCATAGAAATATATTACTGATCTCAGGCACAAGATCTAACAATTGCAGGTTTGCAAAACTTTGCACTAATTTGTACGATTTTGTTAATTAACGTTTATCACAGATATATATGGTATGCACTCTAATATGGATGCTGATAAGTCCCAGCCTACATATGTGTGATAGTACTGTTTAACCTAAGACTCGTTGTACTTCTGCATCCACTTTCTAAACCATTTCTCAACCACTGCGATGTTCCATTCCATCAGAAGTCTTCGTCTTATCATGGTAAGCTTATACCATGCACCAAAAACCTTAAAAAATCAAATGCATTCTGTCAATTTACATTTCTATTCTAGGACTAGGACCAAATTATGACTGAAAACTAATACAATGATGGCTAGTATAGTTCAATTTGATCTGTACTTCTCTCTCCACAAAAAAGAGGTTTAAGACTTCAATTATATCTGGCATTTTAATCTACCACTTGGGAGTGATTTCTCATTCTATCGAGCCAGAGGAACATTAAGCTTTTTAACCCTTTCACCACCACTCGTTTTTTTTCTTAATGCACCCTGTACACCAGCTAATTTGGTACTTTCACCCAAATTGCATATGTTTACTTAAAACTAAATTATCACAAAAAAGAATACATTTTGGAATAAAGGAAGTAAAATAATGTTATTTTTTTACTCGAACCCTTGCTAGACCCCCAAATACAAATATGGTGTCGTTTTGGAGTAAAACTTGTATGCTAATGATATGGCCACTAAAGAAGCCATGAGTGTTGTGGGTATATTTTTCTAGTGGCCTCTAAAGGGGCCACGAGTGGTGAAAGGGTTAAAATTGTCAGGTGATTCCATTGGTTCCATGGAACCCCCTATTGTGAGATCTTGTGAAGCCAATCATGTTCTTTACTCACAGTACATTAAAATTGGAACCCCTCTTTGTGAAGCCGATAGCACCAGCTTTTTGCATGCATACATTCGGAACCCTCTTTAAAATTCTCAGATCTGCCACTGATCCCTGCACAATGTATTTTAAAAAAGTGTGGTTGCAACATAGTATCCCAGTACCTCTGATAGCAGTTTCTTTTCTTCGTGCTTCATCATGAGCTCAGACACTCGTTTACGAACAAGTTGGTTTCTCCATTTCCCCCAGTACTTGGAATACAGTTGTCGATCACCCTTTGAAATGGAAAAACGCTTTAGACAAGTCCATAAAAACATTACAGTTTTTTTCCCAAAACATCACTCTTTACAACCATTCCAGTGGTGGATTCAGGGGAGGGGTGCAAGGGTGCACACCCCTCCCTGGTTCGACTTCGTGCCCCTACTTCAAAGATTTAACCAATACATAATTATGTTTTCCCCTTTGATTCTAAAGGGGTGCACCCCTCCCTTGGTTAACTATGTGCGCTTCCCCCCTCCCTGAACAAATTCTTGGATCCGTCCCTGCATTTTCAATCAAAGACAACAACCAGTTTTGACAACAAGTGATTTTTAGAATTTTTTATCTGTTTTCTTACGTAAAGTTTTTGATAATCTTACCAGTTCACTTGCAATTGTTTTCAGCCTCTGTTTCTTCTTCCATAAATGAAAATGCTTGTGTACTAGTTGTTGCTGTTTCATCTCGAGATGTTTTCCCACAAGGACGTCATAATACCAGGAGCGGAAGCATAGTTTTCTATTTAAAAAGACAATTGACCTAATTCACTATGACATCACGACTTGTTTATGTGGGGGATAGAATCGCCAAATCCAATAGAAAATTCAACAAAATTTGCTCCTAGTGAAACAGTTTAATCTAAAATGGCCTGGTTTTCAGATATAATATGTGTTAATATGTACTCAAAAATATTCTGAGTGTTTGCTAGTTATTCTACTTCTCTTTGTGGATTGATACGGGTTTTAGGACAATCTTCGGTGAATTTGCGTTGATTTGACCCCATCCAACGACCAAGATCCTTTGCGTTTAAACAATAGATTGCTGAAGATTGTTTTGATGTGACGTCATAGTGAATTAGGGCAATTAAAAATGCAGTTGGAAAAAATAGAGTCATGAAGTTTAACTATTAAATCTTAATGATACTTTGAAACGACTTTTCGGATTGATGAAAGTCAGAGCAAGACTAACTCACAAGTCTTTCAATTTTTCTCCCCCTATAAAAATTATGAGCATAAATTAGAACTAAACTCTGAAGATGACTTCCGTTCAGGTTGTCGAAATGCCAGTTACCACCAACTAACAGTCTTTCTCAAGACTACACACCCAGATGATCATACTTCACATTAATTAAATCAAAGCATCAACATTTCGGTCAACATATACCTCAGGCGATGATGGTAATGATCTAAAGCAATATCTCCTAATTCCTGTAAGAACAAAAGATTGGTGTTAAATGTAAGCAGTTGATACACAGAGAAATAGTGGCTAAAAGTTTCAATTTAGGACATTCTAGTCGGAGGACCATCAATTTGAAAGCTAATGGTTAAAAAGTTCTCTGAATGTATTATTTGTATGCATCATCAAGGAATGGAATGGACTTTTGAATTCTCTTAGTACATACCTTTTCTTTCTGTTTTCGTTCCATTCTTTCATTAAATCTTGATTTCCAATTCAAAAAGAACTACAAGAAAACCACAAACATTGTCAGATGAAAGGAAAAGAAAGAAGAGAAAAACGAGGAAAGGAAAAGAGAGAGAGAGGAAGGAAGGAAGGAAAGAAGGAGGGAAGGAAGCAAGGAAGCAAGCAGGCAAGCAAGCAAGCCAGCCAGCCAGTGCACGCGTGCGCCCCATTCAAGCAGCACGTATGTATGCAAGCGCCAAGCAATTCAAAAAACGCGCAGCTAGTATCGNTTCACTCACTCGACTAGCCTGCGTAGCCAGGCGTTCTTCAGTTAAAACTAAAAAGACCCTGAAGAACGCCTGGCTACGAAGGCTATCACTCAACAAGCCAGCCAGCCAGCAAGCAAGCAAGGAGGCAAGCAAGCGAGAAAGCAAGGAAGCAAGGAAAAAAGGAAGAAAAGGAAGGAAGAAAGGGAGGAAGGAAGGAGGAAAGAAAGGAAGGAATGAACAAATAAAGATAAATTATTTTATCCAGATATCAAATGATAATTATGTATACCCGTGCAGTAAGAACGATATTGAAGTGTTTGTCGGCTCGACATTTCTGGATGTACTTCTTCCATTGTCTCATACATCCCTGGAGAACCAGCTTGTTGTGCTTGCTCATTTGAATGCTTACAAGTTGATTGTGCTTCTGAGCCTGTTTTAAAGCCGCACGCCATTCCTTGAACATCCGACCAACCTGCAACAAAAAGGTCTTTTAGTTTAAATTCATATTTTAATGCTTCTGTGACCTCAGACAGTCTTTCTTAGCGCTCCCCCTTGCAGTCATAAGACGAAAACTCGATCCTGCAATTCGAGTAGTGCTTCTCGGGCTCGTTTACGACAATTCTCATAAACATGCGAACTCTGCGTCTCCAAGTTGCACGCCGAAATTTGGTTTTCGCTTCCACCAGTCAAACATATGAAAGGTACCGACTGATTAGGTTTGATTGACAGCAGCGAAAAACCAAAAATTTCAGCGTACTGCTCGCAGACACATGTTCATATGTTTATGAAAATTTGCAATTATGCTCCCAAATCACTACCAATGGTTTAGCGCGAATCTACCAGCAAGTTAGTGAGTGCAACTTGGACTTGCGCAGGTGAAATCGGTCACTACGCGGTTTTTTTCTCCGGTTTTCCTCCCTCCACAAAAATCAACATTTCTCAGAGTCTAATGCACTCACCTTTTTAGCCATTACTTCTTTCTGGAATTTTTCCATGATTTTTTGTTGCTTTATCTTGGCCGTTATCACCGACTGCCACACCATTAGACTCCTATAAAAATATCCATATAAGTTAACATCGAATAATTTTTTTGGGCTTAACGTGCAAGTTAATGTTACATGGATGGTTCAAAAGACATTTCGCTCAATGGCTAGCACAAAAAGGTGATCTCCCGTAACATGGAATATTATTTTATGCCCCCCTTCAGCAGAAATAACAAAAAACAAAACAAAACTGAAGAATTAGATGCTTTTTTATTGTTTTCCGTTGTGTTGACGGAAGAAACTCGATTAGCCCCCCTCCCCCCCTAAAATTTTGGCTGGATCCGCCCTTGCGTGTACGTGCTGTAAGTCAGTACCGTACGTATCCCACTAACCATTCTTGTGGGAAGCTATTTCAATGTTACGGCATATCATACCCGGTATGGTGCTGTAAGTCAGTACCGTACGTTTCCCACTCATACGATAACCATTCTTATGGGAAGCCATTTCAATGTTACCGCATGTCGTACCGTTTTCATGCTGTAAGTCAGTACCGAAGGCTTCCCACTCATACGATAACCATTCTCGTGGGAAGCCATTTCAATGTTACGGCATGTCGTACCGTGCACATTCTGTAAGTCAGTACCGCACGTTTCCCACTCATACGATAACCATTCTTATGGGAAGCCATTTCAATGTTACGGCATGTCGTACCGTGCACATGCTGTAAGTCAGTACCGTACGTTTCCCACTCATACGATAACCATTCTTGTGGGAAGCCATTTCAATGTTACGGCATGTTGTACCTTGTACGTGAAGGCAGTTTCCCGCTCATACGAAAACCGCTTTATCATAAGTATTTTAGACATTAAAACTATATTGTTTTGTTTACCGTTTCAACACAGTGTTGTTGTGATGGTCCTTTGCTCGGGTAGACTGTTCTGTGCTGTTCACCCAGTAAGCGAAACAAACTCTGACATGTCGATTCCCCATCTCGAACTGAAACTCGTCAGCCCTTGCTTGTTCTCTCTTCGTCTCTGAATCAGAAAGAAGAACGAAACCTTGAAGCCTGAGTCTGTAAGTCTTGTTATTAAGGGAAGCACAGCTTTATTTTGTTTAGGAAATAGGTGGGGATGTGGCTGGTGTTATAGGTAAACTGATTTTTGAGAATGTCCAACATTTAATACTAGAAATCGTCCTTGTTGTGCGAGAGTAGCACTTAAAAGCGCAGTGGCACATCTGTGGACTTCATTCCATGTTTAACTCAGAATTTGGACGTTTTTTTTCGTTTGCACAGGGAGAAAAACCCTCGAAGCACAGGAGAAAACCAAATAGCGCACACTACTCATCTTCTAAGTGAATGTTTTGCCTTACATTTACAGGCACCATAAATGCTGCATTTTCCCCCCTGAACTACAAAAAAAAAAAACCCACTAAAATTGCGGTCCTTTTTAAATAACCACTTACTGACTGTCCATTGTCTCCAGTGAACGGCAGCTTGTCGTATACGTCGATAGAACACTCTCTGCAGAAAAATAAAAAATATATAAATAAACACGACATTTTGATCGATCCAGTAGGATCAATAAACCATTTCCCCTTGGGTGTAATGTTGTCCCATTTCAGACCACGTGTCATTCTCTTCAGAATAAGATTTGTTTGAATCCGTATTCATGTGTCTTCTCGTGCGCAACCGTTAAGCAAAGAAACGATACTCTAGGGAATGACAGTTGGTCTGAATAGGAAACCATTATGCTTAAGGTAAAGCTGTATACTATCTTCCACAAGGTAGTTTGTTTTTGAGATTATTTTTGTTTTATTGTTTAATTAACCAGGACCATACTTCCAGACATCGAGTGCTGAACCGTCGTATGGACTTACGGCTACGCTGGCGATTTCGACACCAACACCGCTATCCCGGGAGGAATTACAGACTGATCAGGAAGCTCGACCGAAGCCTAAGGGAGAGGTTAGTCGGCCCCTAGACCGTAAATGATTAACCCCTTGCTATGACCAGCATACCCAATAAGTCGCTTGCGTCACTGATGACTAAACCCCCACGGTCACTCTTTCCCATGTGGGATGCGTCTCCTAAACATGCATCAAATGCCGTGACGTGTATTAACACGTAGACTCGTAGTAACAAGAAATCAAAATTGAGGCCTTGTTTTTTAAGTGTCCTTTTAAACATTTAGAGGACCCAATAAATAGGTAAAGAAAATGGAAAGCGAAGTGCGCATGCGCATAAATTCTAAAACGCTCGAAATTGGAGAAAGATATAGTTACATGAATGTATAAACCGCCCTGGGCCTGGTCGTACGAAGGGTGAGTAGCGCTATCCGACGGATAAATCTTATCCAGTGGATAAATTTATTGGATAACAGCATCGACTTATCACTTCATAAGGATTTATCCGTTGGAAAGCGCTATCCACCCTTCGTACAATCGGGCCCTTGATGATAGGGGTTTCATTTGAATTCCAAGAGTTTGCAAACACTTTTTAAAAATTACTGCCTCACCTCCATGATTTTCTCGAGTCCTTTCTTCTGGGATAATCGAAGCCGCCATTTCATCAAACTCTGTAGGATAAAGAGAAATCTAAGTTAGAACACAGAATGAATTGGAATTTAGTTATGAGATTTGTGGAGGGAGGAAAGCCGGAGAACCTTCAGAAAAACCTTTAAATTAGTGAGAGACCTGAAAGACTCTACTCACATGTAATGCTGAGTCCAGGAATCAAACCTGAGACCCTAGAGGTGAGAGGTGAGTGTACTACCACTACACCACCCTTGGTTCACTAATGTATGCGATGTAGAGTCCAGGAATCTAACCTGAGACCCTAGAGGTGAGAGGTGAGTGCACCAGCACTACGTACACCACCCTTGATTCACTAATGTATGTGATGTAGAGTCCAGGAATCTAACCTGAGACCCTAGAGGTGAGAGGTGAGTGCACTACCACTACATCACCCTTGGTTCACTAATGTATGTGATGTTGAGTCCAGGAATCAAATCTGAGACCCCAGAGGTAAGAGGTGAGTGCACTACCACTACACCACCCTTGATTCACTAATGTATGTCATGTTAAGTCCAGGAATCAAACCTGAGACCCTAGAGGTGAGAGACAAGTGTACTACTGTACACTACCCTTGATTGTCTCACCTCAGTATCCAGCGGGGTACATTAATAGGATTACTATTTAAACCACTAAGAGACCTTGGTTTATTCTCAAAATTTAGAGAGGATATGGGAATCTGAAGGAATACTCCAGTTTCGAGTTCTTTGTTGCTCAAGGTTAGCCTCGATTTTGTTTATAATATTCGTGTGTTCCAGTGAAGGTCCGTGGAATTTCAAAGTGTTTGTGCTAACCCTGAGTAAATTAGTCTGTAATCAAGGAACGCAGCGGTAATTTGGAACTCGAAAATGGGTCTATAGAGTGTGTGCAACCATGTGACTCAAAATGCCTTGAGATATGAATAACAATGAAGCAGCCGCCATCTTGGTTGATCCAACAAGAGAAGCTAATGAGGAATGCTTTGTTATCGTCAACCAAGATGGCGGTAACGTGCACATGCTCTATAGTGTTTGTAACCACGTGACTCACAATCCCTTGAGATACGAATGACAATGAAACAGCCGCCATCTTGGTTGATCCAACAAGAGAAGCTAATGAGGAATGATTTGTTATCGTCAACCAAGATGGCGGTAACGTGCAGATGCTCTATAGTGTGTGTAACCACGTGACTCACAATCCCTTGAGATACGAATGACAATGAAACAGCCGCCATCTTGGTTGATCCAACAAGAGAAGCTGATGAGGAATGATTTGTTATCGTCAACCAAGATGGCGGCAATGACGTAACATGCACATGCTCTATTTGAAGAGGCACTTATACAGATTAATACGCATACATGCACCCCCCTAGATCTGTTCCTGTTTCTAAAAGAGCACGGCCTGTCTTACCATGTACTGCAGTCGTCCATCATGGTGTTTGAGCGCACGACAGTTCAACGTGTACTTGTGCCACTTCAGCATACAAGATTCAAGACTCTGGAACTGTTTATTCCTCAGGTGTTCATCCAGGATCTCTTGGTTGGACGCATTCCTCGTGAAACGGTCTCTCCAAGTGAAAAATGACCTCGATATCTGCAATCAAGGAAGGGATGGTGATCTACGAGACGGTCTGATCATGTTGTTTTTGTGTATACACCTATTTCAAAAAACGTTGTCTGTTGGATATCTGAATCCAGAAATCTGAGACCGATTGGAATTGTGGGGAACTGAGTGTTTTCTCATTCAAAATTCAATATACACTTACCCAGATAGTTTGCCATCGCTGGTCATCGCTCAAAGTTAGTATATCAAGATATACTTTTTGCGAACTGCTAATAGACCCCTTTCGAATTCCAAATTACCGCTGTGTTTCTTGATTACAAACTCATTTGCACAGGGTTAGCCTCGAGTTTGTGCAGAATATTCACGTGTTTCAGTCAAGGTCCGTCAAGTTTCAAAGTGTTTGTATTGTTGAAGTTGTGCATTCTTTACTTTACCGTTGGTATTTGTGAATATTTAGACACTGATACGAGGCTAACCCTGTGCAAATGAGTCTGTAATTAAGGAACACAGCGGTAATTTGGAATTCGAAACTGGTCTATTAAAACCACAAACAATTTACAGCTTACAACCCACAACTCCTTTCGGTCTCAGATTTCAGATCTCCGACGGACGTTTTTTGAAATAGGTGTATACAAGACGATTCTAAAGCAATGGCTGACCTTGTTTATAGAAACCGAGAAGGCAGGAAGCCGACTTAGGCTGTGTTTACTCGGTACCGGACGAATTCTTAACCGGTCAAAAAGTCGTACGTTTAGGGATCCCGTTTACGCGGGACTGATTAATATATCCGAACTTTTGTGTAAGCACCTGCCTTATGGCAAGTTATTCAAAAATAATAATAAATAAATAAATATTCGTACACCTTATCGTGCAGATTTGGATCCAGTTCCGCGTAAATACAACGTATTTTTTAAAACGATTAAAGAGACGATTCCGTCTAAACGAGTTAAATTTTTCACTGGTTTAAAATTCGTCTGGTACGCCGTGTAAAACCAGCCTAAAATATTACTTAATGTTCCTTATTTATATTCCAACTACCTTTATGTTTGCCGACCATCCAGATATAGAAATAAAAGATATAATTTTATATAAATTGTACGTACAAGGTCTTGATTCCTGGACGCTTCGATATCAGCGAGTGTTTTTCTACAGCGAGTTTTCGTGTGTGCATATCGAAACCAAGCCTTTAAGGAACTGGTAATAGAGTGAGAAAATATCGTTGAGGGTTACAATAATAGCAACGATGGTGATAATATTGTGGGAGAAGAGGAGAAGGAGGAGGAGTAAAGGACACGGATGAGGGCAAGGGCAAGGGCAGGGACAAGGACTGAATGACAAGGAATGAAGGACAAGAACTGATGGACAAGGACTGAAGTACAAGGACTGAAGGACAAGTAATGAAGTACAAGTACTGAAGGACAAGGACCGAAGGACAAGGATTGAAGGACAAGGACTGAAGGACAAGGACTGAAGGACAAGGA